AGGAACAAACAAAATCCACATTGATATCACATAATTACATGTGTTTGAAAGAATTTAGCTCCACAGTTATTGGGACACATGTAACCCATAAATTGCATAGAATACAATTTTTAACTACGTATAGTTGTGTGTCAAATAACAAATATGTTGAATGAACATCATCATGTTCAGGGAAATAAAAGCAGGTTTTAAATAATCTTCATTTTGATCTGCCCACACAAACTCTCCACACAGTTTGTTTTCACTTCTTCAGAGTGGGCAGCCACATATTTGAAATGTACCTGACACAATTTTCCTGCCTCGGTAAGAAATAAAGAAAGAAAACACATTTTGAACAAATAGAAGGAATTACGTTGCTGTAAATGTAGTGTGACTCTGGATGTCAGTGTAGAAAACATCATAACATAACAAACTCAGAGACGGTGGTGACACTGTTACTGCAGAGCCCACACTGAGATGCCAGTGTAGGGAGGTGAGGAAATATATTGCAAGTGGCATTCACAGAGGTAATTTTAAAAAGTGAAGACGAATGTGACAAACACAGAAATTAATCATTTTGAATTTTGTGAATATAATAATCAACTCATCAGCGTATGATTGTAAAACAACCCTGCATCAAATAAAAGGCATCGTATACTGTGGGCTATAGAGATGACTCATGTGGTGTCTCATCACGAAGGTGTGTCCAGCACGAACAGGGAAGAGACTGGAAGAGATGTGAGAGCAGGATTCCCTTGGACCCTGTAGTTAATGAAACCCCTCCCATGCCTTTGACAGTTTTTAACGGGGAGATTGTGTCCTACTTGTCTCTGTAGCCGCTGCTTCGCTCCTGAGTCGCCGGCCATCTCCCCTGAGCAGAATACTGAGTTGTCAGTATCAAAAAAACACTCAGTTTCTTGGATGGTAGTCTTGCAGATATGTTTGTTGCACAGCAGGCTAAAGTGATCCCTCCTGTCAAAGAGAGAAACCATTTCTCTCTCTGTATAACCAGTCTCTAGGCAAGTTTGATTCACTTGGAAATGGAAAAAGAAACAACAAAAAGCAGAGTTCTTTCTTTTCTCTAAAACATTTGAATTAGAAAAAAATAGTGAGTCATTTCTGACTGGTGTGTGACTCTCCATCTCTGAAATCTGATAACGTGGCAGCTGCCAATGTGGAGAGGAGGACATGCTATTTAAAAAAAAACAGGTTGCATCAAGTATTTGTCAACCTGTCCCTCATTATTTCCACTGAACTGGAAAATAAGTTGCCAGTCAATGATGCAGAGCCTGAGATAATACCTGGGTTTCAAAGCAAGCTATCGGAGCCGCGTCTCTCCATGACGCCAATAACTGAATCACAAACTGCAAAAGAGTTTTCACGTGAAGCTCCCGGGCAATTGTGAGTTTTCATGAAAGATTGAACAGGTTGCCATGGAGGAAAATGTCATTGTTTCACGACAGTAAACGTTTTTCCATTTCCTCTTTTGTCAGGCCTCAAAAGGCAGATTACACATTGTTCTCTCAACACAGGGTGACACCGCAGATCAGTCACTTGCAGCATCAGTTCATCCCAGAGTACACGTTTGTTTAAATGGACCTCGAGAAGAGGTGCAGCATGTTTGTTTCTAGAAATGTAATATATTTACTGTGGCCATTTTGTTTTCTTATTGCAAAAAAATGGAATAGACATAAAACTGATAGGAGTATATTAAAGTTTTATGGATGAACTTTGATTTATCTTTTTTAATTTGATATTCAAATCTTCATGCTGAGGAATAAAGTGCTGAGAAGTCTGGAAATGAAAAGCTGCCTCCCACCAGGGATATAGATGTACATGCATAGGCTCTACAAGAATAGGAATAAGAAATATAGATAAATCACAGGAATCAATGATATATATGGCTTGAAGTGGCATTGATATGTCTAAAAAATTACATATTTACAAAAATATATTGATATTTGTCCAGAAATAATTTAATTATTACATTATGTTGATGCTTACATTGTGTATAGCACATGTATAAGTCCATGACACCACGTCTGATGTAATTTTATGGCAGTGGTTTGATAGTAATAAATGGCTTTTGATGACGTCGTTATAGATTGTTTGTGTGAAACTGATGTGGTCTTTACAAAAGCAGCTCTGTGCTCTGAACACTGTGAAGATTGTTCAACAGAGACTTCACTTCACTCTGCATAAATAATTCATTCATAACATGTTACAGACTAAAAATATCCAAGTCGTTCATTTAATGAGCAGATGCATTGTGATTTTCTGCGAGTGGCTCATAACTAGCAGCAAGAGAAAATCACACACACACACACAGACTCACACACATACACACACAA